CCTTGCTCAGCCTAGATAGAGGGGGAAGGGTCTTGGTCTTGCCTCAAAGTGAAGTTTCAGACTTTATTGACTCCCCCATGGGAAGTCTTACCCTTTCTTAGGAGTGGATGGGGGAGAGGGAGGGACAGGAAAAGGAGGTAAGTGGGAACAGGGATAGCTATGTAACATGAGAAAAGATTGTACTTAAAATGTTCTTGATTAAAAAAACTGAAAAAATTGAGATAAAGACCTGATAAGTCCAAGGAACGGAGGAGAGTTGATTGAATGACCCTCCCTCCACATTCTTCCTGATTCACGAGCCCCAGAAACTCCTCTTTTCTCTTTCTATTCCTCTCTAGCAGACCTCCTCAGTCCTCCAACAACTCTGTAGCTAATCTCAGTTAGCCAATTTGCTGACTCCATCCTTTGATTCAAGGTGGCTTTATTTGCACAATGGAATGGATGTACAAACAATTTTTTCCGCAACTTTCAGCATCTGTTTTCCCACTCCAAAGCAGAACAATTGCCTTGACAAACATCATCTACAAACAAGAGGACATAGTCAGCACCAGGATATGGCTCAAGATTGAGAGTGGGCTAAATTGTTTTGACTATTTGGAGGGAGAAGTCAACAAAAACATTAGAAAAAAATTTTCAAGAACAAGAGATAAGGCAAAAGTTCTACAGTTGAAAACCCAAGAAGAAATAGGAGCCGAAGCCAGCTCTTTCTGCTTTGCATGGAGATTCCCAGGTGTTAACATTGGAAAATCTGCATGGAGGAATGAGGTTGGGATTGCAGAAGGCATGAGAACAAGGACTGGAAGGTTGGGGTCTTGAAAGCCATTCAGGTGGATTCTCTCAGTTTGCTAAAATAAGCATAGGGAGATGAGACTTGTCAAACTAATAAAATAGATTTTGTCATAATTGCAAATAAAATGATGAATCATATTTCAAAGGAACAAAGAAAGCCCTTACTCTTCAGCCTTTCACAAGATTTTTTTTTTCTTATATATGCTGTGGTATAAGCGTTGAAGTGTACAGCAATTGGCTAAGAGTCTTGTTGAACTAGGCACTCTGCTTAAGTGGGTCTGAGGAAAGTGATACTGAGAGTCTGTTGAACTAGTAAGAAACTGTATGCTGCTACTTTAACTAGAAAGACCCAAGATCCCATCTCTCCAACTCTTCAGAGGCCCTGTCATCAACTACCCTCTCTTGCTTTTTCATCTTCAATACTTGTTTCTCCAGTGATGGCCTCTTCCACTCTATAAACTTTGTTCTTCAGTACAGGATGCTAGTTAAAAGCTAGAAGTCTGGATTGTTCATCTACTACCACCGTACTCTTCTCAAGTAGGCTGTTTAAGGCTTTGCTTACTTAACTATACGATGGAGATAATAATATTCTCTATCTTGCTAGAGCAGTGGTTGTCAACCCTGGAGGGTGTTGAATAATGTTTTCTGATCAGTTGTCTAAGACCATTGAAAAATACAGATATTTACATTACATTTCATAAAAGTATTAAAATTAGTTATGAAGTAGCAATGAAAATAACTTTGTGGTTGGGGGGTCACCACAACATGAGGAATTATATTTAAAGGGTTACAGTATTAGGAAGGTCAAGAACCAAAGTACTGGGGTGTTTTGTGAACAGCTGAATGAGGTATGTATGTGAAGTGTTTCCTGGCATGTATAAGCATACCGGAAGACTGAGCTAGAATGTATTAATTTCCTAGAACAACAGTAACAAATGACCACCAAGCAAGTCAACTGGATTCTTGTTCTATCTGATGTGAATGTGTTCTTTCCTAGTTTAGGAGGTCAGAAGTCCAAAACCAAAGTATTAGAAGGCTGATTTCTTCTATAATTACATATATATATATATATATATATATATATATATATTACAATCCTCTCTCCTATTTTTTGCTTGTAGTCCTCTCAATGGTCTATGCTTTACAGATCAAAGGCTCGTATAGCTTCCTGGTTTTCCACCTTCCTTCCACATCTTTAGGCCTTATACTGTATGAGTGTCTAAGTCAGTGGCTCTCTGGCCTGCCCTGATATGGTATAACCTCAGTTTTGCTAATTTCAGTCATGAATCACATAATTAGCGACACTTTGAAGAAACACATCTCTTTTAGGTGAGATACACACACACACACACATGTACTATATATATATAGTACATATATATATTATATATATAATATATATTATATATATAGTACATATATATATTGTACTATATATATATATATATATATATATAGTACAAGGGAACTTGTCATTGCCCTATGTGTTGGGGGTAGGATAATTCAACAATGGCCTTCTCCATGCATGAAAATCAGGAACTTGGCAATCCTCTCCTAGTGTGGAAGGCTAGAACGTTCCCACAGAATAAAGGTATTAAGTCTAGACTGGATGGCTGGTATCAGTTTCTGTGCCAGATATTCTGTTGCTGTGATAAATACCATAACAGAAAGCAACTCAGAGGAAGAAAGGATTCATTTGGCTTTCAGTTGCAGTTCAGAGCTAATCACTGCAGACAGTCAGGGCAAAAACTCAAGGCAAGTATGTGGGGTTACTAATTGTGGGGGAATACTGCCTGCGGTTCACTATCTAGTCTGCTCTCTCACACAGGCTCATGTTTAGCTAGCTTTCTTCTATAGCTCAGGACCACTTGCTTAAGAATGATGTCACCACAGTGGGCTGGGGCCCCCCAGCATCAACTAATAGTCAAGACAGTTCCCCACAGATCAATCTGATCTAGCCAACTCCTCTTTGGAGGCCAGCCACCCTCTCAGGTGATTGTAGGCTGTGTCAAATTGACAATTAAAGATAATTACAATATGAAGCATATAACTATGTACCCATACTTACAAATAAGATTGCACTCCGAGGTCTTACACACACATACACACACACACACACACACACACACACACACACACATTGGTGTGTGTGTTCACACACATACACACACACACTAATGAATGAATTAAAATTTTAAATAGATTTTAAAAGTATTAGAGGACGAGGAGATTGCTTAATAGGTAACATACCTTTGAAAGCATGGTCCTGGGTTCAGATCCCCAGCACCAAAGGAAAAAAGAACAGGCATTGCTGTACATGACTGCAATCCTAGCGCTGGGTGACAGAAACAAGAGGATCCTGGACTTCCTTAATTTAATTAGGAAGCTCCAAATTCACTGATAGCACCCATCTCAAAAGAAAGTAGAACATGATAGGAAAAGATACCATCCATTGACCTCTGGTTTCCATGAGTGTGCATACAGAGATGTACACACACACACACACACACACACACACACACACACCACAATTTTTAATTATAAAACTTCCTATAGAGTTATGTCATCATAGTTGAAAATGCAGGGGGGTTCCTGTTGTCCTAGATAAGTACTGTACTACTTGACTGAGCTCCTAGTCCAAAGTACAAGTTTGGATAGAGAAGGAGGAAAAAATATCTATCAAGAGTAGGTAGAAAGAAGTGATACCTGGAACTGGGAATCTGAGGATACCAAATACTTAAGGCTAGTGCAGCAGCAGCAGAAGGAGATCCTGGATAAAGATGAAGAGAAACTCAGAAGAAAACATGAAGAACAGCAAGAGATAATTCATACCTAAAGGACAGAGTATACTTTATAATAATTTTAATGTCTGATGGTCATTCACAACCATCTCTAAGCAGTGCTGAAACTTCCCACTTCCTTGGATTCTATTGTCACTCACAGGGGTAAGCGCCCATTGATGTTCTTTCTAGAAGATCATCTGTAAGTAGGAGCAGGTCACCATGACTAGGGGCTGTGCCTTCCAGTAATAAAAAGAATCCTGGGCATTTAGAGTCCCTATACCAGTAGGTGCCGCACAGTGCAGTTTGTTCTGAAGTATGTTCTCAAGAGCACCAGAGTGCTTTGTTAGGATTTTCAGAGCCCTTCATGATGTCAAAAACAAGATGAAGCACACACTGAGTCCTTGGGCTAATCACTTTAAATGCCTGGCAGCCAAGTGCTGATTCCCGGTTTATATGCCTAAACTTACACCTGCATAGACATTCATGTTGACAACTTTGATCACCCTGGGCAAAGGAGCTATGAGCAAAGAAAAGGAAAGCTGGCACTGCAGTGGTATCTTGGCAACCTAGATAATTGGATATCTTGCCCTATCGAAAATACGGAAAAGATGATGGCTGTTTGAGTCATCTCATGGTGCATAAGAATTTCTATGTACTCAACCCCAAAAATCTGAGCTGTAGTTATATGAATCACATTTCTACATAGAACATCAACTCAATTACACGAAAGCATCATCTATGGTGCCATTGTAAATTTAAGGAATATATTGTTTTGCTATTTTTAATTTCATTTTACATTCCAAATACAATTCTTCCCCCTCCACCCCTTTTCCTGCCCACCTTCCCTCTTCTCCAGTCCACCCTCATCCACTCCTGCCAAAGGATAAGGGCTCCCATGGGGAGTCAAGAATGCCTGGGCCATTAAGTAGAGGCAGGAAAAAAGACTCTCCAACCTGCTTTAAGACTGATCATGACATCCCACCATAGGGAATGGGCTCCAAACATCATGCACCAGGGATAGGTTCTGGTCCTACTACCAGGAGCCCTTTAGATAGACCAAGCAACACATTTGTCCCCTACATGCAGAGGGTCTAGTTAGGTCCCTTGGAGACTCCATACAGAGATAGATGAACCAAGCTCATGGGAACTCATGAACCCTAGAGAAATATATTTTGGGGGTATATTTAACTTGTAGTGGTTACCTATGATTATCCTATAATTTCATGAGAGATAAAAAAATCTACAGTTCAGATATTTGCAAATCAAGACTGATGAGAAAGTTTCTGGCAACTTCTTTGCTAGCTCTGAGTCCCAGTGACGAATTTCAATGAATTTCTTTGTCCCTATTTTCAGCTCTGTGCATGTATGTCTACTTCTCATGGGCAGTGTTTGTTAATTATTCCTTTACTGCTTTCCTTCCCCTTTTAGATAAAATTATCTGACTTTGGATTCTGCGCTCAAGTTTCCAAAGAGGTGCCAAAGAGGAAATCACTGGTGGGTACCCCATACTGGATGGCACCTGAGGTGATTTCCAGGCTACCTTATGGGACAGAGGTAAGTAGGTGACAACCATTGTTTGGGGGCAGTGGGCCCTGGGATCTTCTCAAGGGCACAGTGGTCCTGATTGGTGGGTACAGGAGGTAAGGGTCTTCTGACTCCATGTTGATCCCCAACACTGGGAATCTGTTGACTCGGAGTTCCATTGGGGACATCATCACAGTATTTACACGGTGGCTATTCCTGGAGTCCTACAGAAAAGTGGAAAGGGGATCGTGGAGTCCCTAATTACTGGTCCCACCCCACATGGGAAGCTGTAAAGCAAAATAACTGGAATGGTGACTGCAGTTATGCAGAAAAGCTTCAGAAAAGGGAAAGAAGTATAGAAAGTTTGACAAGGAAGTGATCTATGCATATAGTAGAAATACAATAAAAAATCATGCGTGTATATTGTAACATCCACAATACAGCATAATTTAAATGAGAGAAGGTGAGGCAGAGATTTCTAGGCAAGGAACAGCGTGAGCAGAAGTTTGGAGGCTCAGAGACTGAGTACAGTGCTTCCATGCACCGTGGTATAGGTGGCAATGGCAAATGGTTTGTACTGACAAGCAAAGAGCGACTCATTAATGAAGGCAAGCTTGGCTCTCCTCTTTTTTTCTGTGGCCTTGGATGAGGATCCAACTTGGTTTTCTCACTGTGGACCCCAGAGATAAATCCTAACTGAGAGTAGCAAAAGATAAAAGGATGCGGAGAGCAGATGAAAGCTCAATGAGGCCATGGGAGGAGCTGGACAGGAGGGGTCTACAGAGCCACTATCCTGCCTCCCCTTCTCCAGACTTCCCATTTTTTTACTCAGAGCTGCTAGCCACTTCTTCCTTTTCTTCACTCCCTGAAAATAGTTTATAAAGCAGGATTTGCTGAGGGTTGATTTAAAATAATAAAAATTGAAGTGGAAAACCCCAAAATGGGTGTGGAAAAAACTATGTAAAACTCAGATTTATAGAAGTATCAAGAGTACACTATGTGTGATACAAAGTAGGTCCCTGAAATTTGTTCTAAACATGACAAAGCATTGTCTCAATTACTTATGGTTTACATATACTTTCTTCTCTAAGTGCAACAGCTTTCACCCCCTGGTCACCAGGGTTGATCCAGGTGATCTGGCTGGCTAGGCGGGTGTCGCTTTCCTCCCTCACCATTCCATGTGGCCCCTCCCAAAGCTTAGTCGAGGGACAACATTCTCAGAATAGAGGAGGACCAGTCTTTGGCCAAGAGTAGATGAGTCGCTACAGTCCCTTCACAGAACCTCCAAACAAGCTCTCTCTTTTCATAATGTAAAAATTGGGGTGATTGTTTTATTTTTTCCTTTCTTTCCTTCTTTCTTTCTCTCTCTCTCTCTCTCTCTCTCTCTCTCTCTCTCTTTCTTTTTTCTTTCTTTCTGTATAAAAATTAAAGCTCTAGACTTGAGAACGGTAAATTTTAGTTTCTAATGACCTGGTAGAAACTTCACTAGAGTCATCTTTGAAAAGTACAGAGAGCCTAGGAGGCTGGATTGCCCAATGGTTAAGAGTGCATACTGCTTTTGAAGAAGACCTGGCTTAAGTTCGCACACCCACATCAGGCTGCTCACAACTGCCTGTAACTCTAGTTCCAGAGGCTCTGACATCTTCTTTGACCTTTGAGAACACCCAACCCTACACACACACACACGCACGCACACACGCACAAAGCTAAATCTCCTTTTAAAAAGAAAGATGACATTAGCAAAAATGGTGATAATACAACAATGCAGCATGCAAATTTGTATCATAAGATTTGAAATCAGTTTGTGAAATTAATTATTTGTAAGTGAACATGGATCTGCTGGGATTCACAGTACAACCAAAACTCAAGAATTTTCTCCATTCCTGACATAACTAGTGGATTGTGCTTAACAGGTGGACATCTGGTCCCTCGGGATCATGGTGATAGAGATGATTGATGGTGAGCCCCCCTATTTCAATGAGCCTCCTCTCCAGGCAATGCGAAGGATCCGGGATAGTTTACCTCCAAGAGTGAAGGACCTACACAAGGTGAGATTGCTATGTACTGCAATGTCCAGAATAGTTACTTGTTCATTTAAAGACTGGCATAGCAAATCTGGTAGACCTGATTTGGGGATAAAGGTTTTGTACTAAGTCATTGAGATTCAAATCTATGTTTTTTCTGTGCATTTATGGGGCAAGTGACTCCACACCTTCAACCACAAAGTTTTTCATCTGTAAATGGATGTCATCAGCTCTTCTCTCAAAGGGCTGGTGAGATATGAGTTGGATTCTCCTTCCAGCATGTCCACACTAAGTGACTGGTACCTGCTGGGGACTTCTAGTTAGGGGTATTCCGATTATTTGATTCTTGTAGAGTCTGCATTCTAAGTAGAGAATAAACTAATAGAATTTATGCAAATAAATTAAAAATAGTCAACGAATGCTATGAAGAACACTGTGAAGAGATCAAATGCACAAGACTGGGAGTTACTTTAGTATAAAAAGCCAAGGAAACAAATGGAAAGAGAGCACTAGTCATGCAAAGATCTGGAAGAAAAATATCTCATACAGCAGGAGCATCAGATACAAGGACCTAAAGCCAAGGAAGGCTTGTGCTGTAACAGCACAGCAAGAAGACAAGGATAGAACATTCCAGAGAAATAGGCAGGAGCTAGATCACGCAGGGAAAGTAATTACTGCTCATATTAAGAACCAGTGAATGTGGTTTTCACATGTTCCAAGACTTGGCAACTGGGACTAAGCTAAGGCTTATGGTCATTTCGAGAGTTACCCTGCTATCTGGAGCCTGTAAGACCTAACATCTCAAGTTCAACCTCAGCCTAGCAATGCCTCCCTCTCTCTAGCTGCTTTATAACAGACAGAACATGAGGTTGTCTTTTAGGGGAGAGGTGTATGGAATGGAAGAAGCTCCTCATTTCCTCTCCCCTATTACTGAAAAGAACTCAGAAAATTATTGATATAGCTTTTGCAGAGATTCAGCAAAAGGGAAACCACAAGAACTCAATAAGAGTTTGAAAATTTTGCTAGATTGGATGAAGATTAACCAATGAAAATCAACTAAGAACCTATCATGTAAATGCCCAGTAGAATTGAGTGCTAATGAACACACAAGTATATATTTCCTTCTAATGTCTAAAAGCTGGAAAAATCCCAGACTTGTTTCCCAAGTGAATAAATAATCTATGGAATAATTGAACAGCCACACAAAAATAAAACAAATGAGGAAAGTATCTCACATAGAATGAAATAAGCCAGTAAAAATTAACAGTATACAAATATATGTGTGTATATGTATATGTATATGTATAATACACTTACTGTATATTTATGTGATACAATGTTTTTTCATGCTATATATACACATATATGTGTATATTTCTGTACAGAATTATATGTGTATAACTTATACATATATTCTATATTATGTGCATATAAACTATATATATGTATAGATATGTGTATATAATTTTGTACAAGGCTTAAAAGCAAGTAAAACTAATGTGTCTTGTTAGAAGTGAGGATTCTTATTACCTTTTGTAAGACCGTAGGTAATCCCAAAAGGAAGCCCGAGGCAACCTCTTAGAATGGCAGAAATGTCCTATATCTCAATAGAGGTGGAAAGTGAACAGATGTCAACGTATGACAAGTCAATCAGGACATTCATCTAATGGTGTTCATCTCCAAGTAAAATCTGATAGATGTCAGAAAAGTCAGCTTTACAAAAACTAAACGGAAATGTCTGTGTTGACTAACATGATGGAAACGGGTTTCTCTCTGTCCAGGGGTGAGGAAACTAACCTGATGGAAATGTGTTTCTCTCTGTGCAGGGGTGAGGGAACTAACCTGAAGGAAATGAGTTTTTCTCTGTGCAGGGGTGAGGGGTGTCCACCAAGCACTGTTTCACAGTCTCAGTTGAATTTCTCAAACATACCACCATGCCTATATAATCCAGACAAAAGAGGTGCTTTCATTACTTACGTCATTTTATTTAATGAAGTGACTCTGTGCTTCACCTCCACTGTTTTGCACTTTGAAAGCAATGATAGTGGTAGCATATGTGTTTCTTCTGTGCCTTTCTCCCTTATTTGGTATAATTTGAAGTCATGATGAGGCTAGTTGGGACATCGTTTCAGGACACTGAGCTGGGTTTTTGTGCTGGTCCTCAGTGTGGGGTCTTTCTTTCCGCAGGTTTCTTCCATGCTCCGAGGATTCCTAGATCTGATGTTGGTGAGGGAGCCCTCTCAAAGAGCCACGGCCCAAGAGCTTCTTGGACATCCATTCTTAAAACTGGCAGGTCCACCATCTTGTATCGTTCCTCTCATGAGACAATACCGGCATCACTGAGCAGACTCGCAGAGGAGACAAATCTAGGCAAAGACATGAGGATAATTCAGGAGAACACGAGGAAAACCCCACAGAACACGCAAAGGCCTGTGCATTCTAAACCAGCTGATTGGTGGGACAGTGTGATGGCCTGACCGGCAGGGTTTGACAGACCAGGGCATCTTCTAGTGTCTTAAATAGGCATCTCTCCACTGACAGCTGGCATGGTCATTTGGAGCATGGCTTTAATAAGTCATTATACATTTTCAGCCCTTCTTCCAGCAAACCAGAAGGACTCAGTACAAACTCCGTTATGATATATCCTAGCCACATGCAGGGTACCACATAGGATTTTCTATATTGAAAGAATACTTTTCTGGCAAAAAAAAAGAAAGAAAGAAAAGAAAAGAAAAGAAAAAGCACTTTTTTTCTTAATGGTAGCAGTGTAATGTATTTTGCAATGACTTTGTAACTTTTCTGTACGATAGTTTTGATAATTTATAGTACTTTGATGTCCCGTAGCCATTGTCTTGGTTGAAGTAATCTTGTTCCCTAGCAGGCATTTGAACAAAACCTTTCCTACTTTTTTATCCCTTTCAGAGAACCAGCGGTTCTTTAGGATCTTTGAATACTAAATGACCCTCAGTCACCGTCAGCTTTAGCGGAAAATCTTTCGTATCCTAACAAGTGTCTTATGTAACGGAAGGAGAGTCAAGTGTGATGGTGATGGTGTGGACACTTCATTTCCCCAACCAAACACACAAAAAAACAAAATCTGAGCCACAGGATCACCAAACAGTTCCATGAGAGAATGCTAAATATTCCAAAAAATCATTTTCCTTCAAGGGTTCTGGTGACACACCAGTCTTTGAAGAGCGAGATATCTCCCTTGATGCTCACCTTTAAATAACCTGTGGTCAAATTTCAGTACTGGGATTACTGGACTCAGTTTCCCAGGTAGAAAGTTTTGGTGAGACCATGGAAATCCCAGGCTCACAAGAGGAGAGAGAACAAGGCAAGTTGTTTGGTTTTGTTTGTCACTGTTTCTAGGACTCTGTATGCTAGCACACCAAACTCTTGTCTGTATTTATCCTCATGCCGCAGTATTAATCACTGTTATTCATGTATTGTGCTGGAAGTCTGAACGGATGATAGGGGTGAATTAGTAAGGGGGTACTTTACCAGGTATGGTCTAACTTCAGTGGTGACCATGTTATGTGTTTCCAACATAAGGAGAGTTGTGCTGCTGTCTAGAGCTTCTGAATGTTGATAAAAATGAATGACTACTACACTACATTTTGTGTTGCTTGTTGGATGAATTTGCATGTTAACTGTAGGCCAATATAGATTTGCCTTTAAAACTCTGGAAAGCGCGACATAGTCATCATTAGTTTCTATTAATTATGCATCAGACAAAAGCCATTTGTTACCAAACTGGAAAACCAGAGACTTGACTTAACGACTTCACATACTGTAACAAATATGAAAATAAATTTGTGAAGATACTCTGGTTGCTCTAAGCATAATTAAGAATTTTTTGTAATTAATAGGTTAATTATTTATTATAGTTTAAGAGGAAAAAAAGGCATAAAATGACTGCTGATTAGCTGTCCAATTTTTCCCCAAACTGGAAATGCTTTACCCGACATAGTACCTGTAACTTTGCTTCATAAAACACAGAAGATCGATGTCTTATGTAATCTATTAAGGTTTTAATAAAAATGTGGATGAATAAAAGCAATCTCAACCCCCAAAGGGGCAATCCTAAAATGTCACAAAACAGAGTGCCATAATTCAACCAGGACTATGTAGGAGAGGAAAGAAGAACAAAACAGAATCCTTTTTAACCAGAATCAACATCTAAAAATTAATTGCAGGAAATAGCAGATTTTGAATTCAAACAGCTTTTGACAGTGTAATGGAAACTTTTTTCTGTAATTTTCTTATCATTGGTCATTTTTTACAGTATTTGGTAAGTTTACAAGATGTTCCTGTAGCTTAACGGGGTCTGTGAGAATCGAGCACTGGCAGAAACTGCACCACAAATAAAGCAAGTATTTGCCTTTTCCCCGCCATTTTAGTGGAAAGATTTCTTTTCTGAATTTGTCTTACTGAGTAAAGGAGGGTGGCGTGTTTATGCCCTTGGGGCTGCACATGACTTGGTTTCTATGTTACATCATGATGTCTCAAATGGAAGCTAAAGCACCCTTGTCCCCAATGGTTACCAGTTGTGTAAGAATGTGACACAGACATCCTACTTAGAAAAAAAAAAACAAAACAAAACAAAAAATATGAAATTCTGAGAAACCAGGTTCAAGGAAAACTCAGGACCTCCACTTTAGCTCTCTACCCCACAGATACTGTGCTGATTCGAGGCCTTTTACCAACAACTTTTACTAAAAAAGGCTTAGCTAGAGCTCTCTTCGCCTAGCATAGAGTGTTTAGTCTCTTTATTCTTTTTGACTGACAAGGAGAAGTATGAACACTGACCCTGTGAAGCTGACAAGAAATGTTTGTGACAAAGAGCCTATTCCGTGTCTAGACATTTTAGAAGGTTGCCTTCAGGAAATAACCCAAGAGAGAAGGATGAGTGAGGACTTAGTACATCATGTATCAAGGAAGAGAAAAATGGAGGCAACCTTCTACAGACAAGACCTTGGTCTTTGCTGCAAAATAAGTAGGCACTAAATTTTCTTGACTGTAGCTGATGGATCGTGATGAAGAATCAAGAAACATGCCAAACTACTTTTAAGAAAAAATGAGGGCCAGAGAATCGACTCCATGGTAGGACGCTTGCCGTCAATCTGGTAAACTGAGTGTAATCCTTGGAGCCAAATGGTACAGAGAGAAATTCTATTAATTTGTCCTCTGACCACCACATGTATGCCATGGTGCATATGTGCATTTGTGTGCATGTACACACACACACATACACACACAAACACACACAAATGTAAGTAAATTTTGTAAGTAATGAGATGCACAACCATAATGTGCATTGGAGGGAAACTTAGGAAGATGTGGTTTCTTTCTTCAGGAAAAGAGGTCAGAGTCCAACTGAAACTGAACTCTGAAAAAGTGTATCATCTACACAGACTCCTGTGGATAGCAGAGACTGTAGCCTTCAGGCAGAACCAAAATGAGATTTGAGAATCTTCCCTCATTCCTTCAAATAGCATCTCAACTCAGTTGATGTCAAATAAACAGAAGCTTGTCTCTGTATGAGGCCCCGTAGACTTAGCCAGTCTAAGACCCCATGATGAAAAAGACAGACTAGACTATCATATTATATACCCTGCCATTGCTCCCTGATGCTGTCTCTTTCTATGTTACAAAGTCACCCAGTTTAAAGGGTGATGCATTGGTTTTGAATTGACATGAGTTTGACTCTTTGAAAGTCACAGTAGTTAAATGGAATTGAGTTGGATTATGGTTGTGTTCCTATTATACACCTGGAAGAACATTCACCAGCAATTACTAAAAAAACAACAATAATAATTTCATCAAGTTAACATCTCAGAGTCAGATTCCTTGGTCAATTTAATCAAATAAATAGACAAAGAGATTTCAAAGAGAGACAGACTGTATCTATAACAGATATAAAATATATAAGCAGAAAACTCTCGTGAAACTAATATGATAAGGCATAAACGGGATGAGTGTGAGAGGAAGACTGGTAGTATGAGCGTGAGGATGAGTAGATATTCATTTTCAGATTACATTATTTACATGTGGGTTACATCGAAAGGAAAACCTAAAACATTTAAACATAAATTCTATGCATGTGCAAATGACCTTGGAAAACTCTTCCTACCAAAATGAAGAGAGAGAGAGAGAGAACAAATACTATGTAATAATTTCCTTTAAAGTGAAACAGTCTCTCCTGGAGTAGGAAGGGAAGTTACTAAGACACAGGAAGCTCATAAGACTTACAAGACTCAGGTGACTCCTCCCTACTACTATTAAAGCAGCAAACAATTGCTGGTATAGAGAACATCATTGTTGCCCACAAGTTAGCCAAGGAACATTTAAAATGTACCTTTTCTGAATCAGTAACCATCCTGTGGAGAACTTTGGGATCCATCCCTTGTCTGAAAGCCAGCCACAATCCTGTAAGTAGCCACTCCCCTCTGCTCTTGTTAGTGACCCTAATACAGTCGCCATTTCTTGAAGCAACACCTGAGTGGAATTTTCTCTGGTTTGTAGTCAGTGCCCCATCTAGGGTAAATAGACTCTTTTTCCCCTTTCCAAAGGAAAAGTCAGGCAACCCAAACAAAGACCAATAGGATTAGAAGAGCAGTTATATGACTTATGTAATGGGTGATAAGATATGTAACTGAGGCCGGCTGATCCAAATAAGCATCCATAGGGGTAACCCCATCATGACTCTCTTTCACTGTGTGGTATGTGATGCTATCACATCTTGGTGCAGTTCTGTGGTTTCTGCTATGAGTGATAAGACATGTCACCAAGGATTGCCAACTTCATCTGCATAATATGAGGTACATGACTTTGTAAATGTGGTCTGCCACATGATTATAGGGATTCTCTAAATTTGGCAGATAGACTGGAGAATATACTGCAATACCTGAAAGAAGAACCTATGGGATGGAACTGAAAGCAGGCTATGGGGATAGTTTCATGGTCTTTGCTGAAACAACTGAGATTCAGCTATATCCCTAGAAAATATTCACACAAGTAAGAAAAATAATTGCAACAGGAAAAATACATGTGGATGCTGCCCTCTGCCTTAGGTTCCGATTTGGTAGGAAGAGTAAGGATAAATAGGAGGGAGTTGGAAGCTCGCCATTTCCTACAGCTGGTGGAGTGTAAGAGATAAAGATTACTAAAGAGACCTATGCAATGATGATGAGCCCTTCCTGGAACCCAAAAATGTAGGTTACATATGAGTAATTAGTGAAGGAGGAGAGAGCGAGCTAGAAGTGACACCCTACACATCTGATTTTTAAGGAAAGTCTATGATAACCAGCATACGGGGGATACGGGGGATACTCAGCATCCAAATTGCTTTAATTAGGCTAGATTTTTGAATGAGAAATAAAAGAGCCTCTCACAGACTGGCTCACGAGGTTGTGGTACAAAGAAAGAAGCTGAGTGATAAACCTCTTTGAAATGATCAATACAATTTGATTTATTGTATATCAATATAATTTGAGACAGTACGCAAGGAGTCAGTCTTATAGACTGGGCTTTAACAAACCATTGGGGACACTTGGCTATCACCACCTGAAGCCTGTGAACATCAGGTACTGGAAAATGATAGAAAAAGGACAAGCATTGCTGAAGCAGGCACACAGGGAACGGTAATTGACACTTACTTATTGCACCATGTTTGACAAGATCGTGATGTTCCCAGGGAACTTAACCGTAGTAGTACTTTCTCATCAGGACCACCAG